GTGAGGGGAAGGAATGGGGTGCGAAAGAAAGGGGAGGAGGGGTGGCCGGCGGGGGAGGGGAGAGCCGCTGCCTGGCCAGCATCCACAGCATCGACAACAGCTGTTATTTATTGAGAGCTGGTCCTTCAAACAAGCACTTACTGGGCGCCTCCGTGTGCCAGGCGCCGTGCCCAGGGCGGCTGATCCACCTCAATTTCCCTGCCCTCGCTGAGTTCCCCTCTGGGGTGGGACCTGCTCGGGGCCAGGCTAGTCCCATTTTTCAGAAGAAGACACTGAGGACAGAGAGGGAGAGGGTGAAAGATGGGGGAGGGGTGTTGGGTGAAAGCTGAGGGGGAGGGCAGAGGGGGGGGGAAACCCTGGGTCAGTACTAAAAAGAGGTGGAGCTAATGCGTGAATGGGGGTGACCTGGGCAGTTGGAAGGGGTGAGAAAGGAACCTTCATGGCCAGATGCCCCACGGGCTTCCAGGTGCCTTGCCAGGAGCTGGTCCTCCAGGAGGGGTGAAGGGGTGACGCCCAGAGTTCACAGTTCCAGGCATTTCCCAGGCCTGGCCCCTAGGGAGCTAGGCAGAGCCTGGCCTTGCCCTTGGCCTTCTCTGAGTCTGTTGCCTCCTCCATGGTGGTAGTGGTGCCTTTAAAGGGCCGCTGGGGTGGGGTTCAATCAGTAAACATCTGTTTTGTTTGTCCTGAACTTGGAATGACAGGTCAGGGCTCATGCATACAGCCGGCACCACACAAATACCAGTCTCCTGGAGCTCCTCCTGCACCCCATCATCATCCCAGGCCAGCCTAGAGGGGCAGGGTGTTCTCTACCCACTGCTCCCGGGGCTTCTTGAGCCCCCAAGCGGAACAGCTCTGGCCTGGCCAGAGGGCCCTCCATTACCCAGGGACCACTGGGAGCCTGCCCTGAGCAGCCTTCTGCGGACCTTTTTCTCCATTCAGAGGTGGCTGCCTTTGCATTGTTTGCCCTTCAGCCCCGGTGATGGGGTGGCCACTTCAGCTCTAGGAATTTCAGAGATGGTTTGAGCCGGGAGTTCCACACTCTGCCACAACTGGGAACCTCTTCTAAACTGGCCCTCCCCCCATGCCACAGTCCCAGAGGTCCCTTGGGCTCTCCCTTGCCCCTCTGGATATGGTCTGGGTGGGGCGTGAGACTTAGCCCTAAACCACTGATACCTTCCAGTCTTGGGCTCACTACTGATTGGGGGATGGGCAGGTAGGACTTTTGCAGGGAATCCGGGGAAACAGACTTTTGGATCTTGAGTAGCATTTGAAGCTGTTCTCCTCTTAGACAACCTCTTGAAGGAATGAAGCCACCAGGTGGAGGAGGTTAATAGTCCCGAGAGCATCATTTCACCCATAGCTGGGCTTTCACTCATGCAATCTTTATTGAACACTCTGGTTTAGGTACTGGGGTCACAGCCAAGAACAATAACACCCTCCATCCCCTACCCCTCACCCCCCCAAGGTCAAGGGTCTGCCTCAGGGCCTTTGTGCTTGCTGTTCCCTCTGTTTGGAATGCTCTTCCCTCTGATATCCCCACGGCCTACTCCATCTCATTCTTCAAGTCTCAACTCAAACATCCCACCCATCCCACACTTTAAGAT